ACTGTGTCCTCAAAAAACACTAAGTCACCTAAAAGTGCTGTTTAAGGGGAAGAGATCAAGATGATCTTAAACGGTATACTTAAGATGGTTGGGTTCTTTGACTATTGTCCATCAGGATGGGCACATACTTAGTTCCAGACCAGGGAAGTGGCTCGCACAGAGGTGTGGGGACTCAGGAGCATGGTGAGTTTACCACCCGATGCAGCAAACCGTCTGGAATAGCTGGACTCTCATGAGCTTTTCATTGACGAGCTGAGCAGAGAGACATTAATGGCCTTTAAAAAAGCAAGAGTGACAGAGAGAGGGACTGTGGTAAGGCACGTGACAAGTGACCGGGGCCAGACAGAGCCATGGCCCTGGGCAAAGACAAGCGCCATCACATATTATTGTGGTGAAGTCAGTGTCCCAATGGGGGACAAACTCTAGGACTTTCTATTCAACTATCTTGCTAAATGTCACTCTTAACTTTTCTTCTTAAATGATTGAAATATGTTTAACATGTCAGTGGGTGCACATGTAGGAGATAATAGATCATTCAAAATCATCCAAAAGTTTGAAAAATCTGTTTCTCTCTTGTCAATTATCCATTTTAAAAAATGCTTGTATTGCTTAGAAATACCAAAAATAAAACTCTAGAATTATTCACTTACGGACAGCTCATAATAAAATGTTTTTATTATTACTATATTTTAGATAAATGTTTCCATGATTATGATTTTTATTGTCATATAGCATTAATAGAAGGAAAAACAAGAACATTAAATGCATCATACTTTTTTTTGTTTTTTTAGAGATATTTCTTTTTTTTTTTTTTTTCCATTATTGATTTTGGAGAGAGAGGAAGGGGGAGGGAGAGAGATTTGGTCCACAACCTGGGGATGTGCCCTGACTAGGAATTGAACCTGCGACCTTTTGGTGCATGGGACGATGTTCAACCACTGAGCCACACCGGTTGGTCTGTATCATACTTTTTGATACAATGTTAGACACGAAGTGAAATTTATAAAAGTCTGAAAATATAAAAAATAAATTCTTCGGTATGTTTTACTTACCTCATGGTATTGGGTTTTGATATTTTACCATTTCCACCTTGTTGTGAAATGAGAAGTAATTGTGTTTCATCCTGGTGTCCACAGATAGAACTTTATTTAAAATGTGCAAAAGGGGTTGCAGCCTGGGGATATCTGCAATAGTGTCCACAATCAAAATAAAGTTTAAAAAACTGCAGAGTAAGCCCAGACCTAGAAGGATGTCCGGCCCTTGAGTTATTTCCTCTTTTTTCAGGCTGTCTCAAATTTAAACTTTGTCAGAACAAGAAAGTATATAAATGCAACTCTTTGCTGACTTTAGCATCTAGTTTGGCGTATTTCAGTTGAATGAAAATCTTTTTTCTACTACCATTTCGTTGATATTATGAACATTTTATTTGCAATAAAACTAGGATTGTTCCCTTACTGGAAAGGCCACGTGTGAGTTTTATTTGCAGTTCCGTACGCATCCCTGTTCTTTTACATGTAAGCGATCTCCATGTTTTCTTCGGTAATGGGGCCTATAACAAGCATTGTACATCTTGCCTGTGTAGCTGTTTTCCTTCTTACTTCCATTCTTAAGAATATATGACAAGCCACTTGAAATAAAATTTCCTGTGTTTAAAAAACAAATTGTATCAGGAAGCACTCAAGATAAAACATACTGCCCTACTGTGAAGGCACATTCCTACCAAAAACGTAAGACATTTTTATATTCACAATATGTCCCCTGAAAGGTAACGAAATAAATATCAGATTACAATGAAATTTGAAAGCGTTCTCAACACGTATGGTAACTTGATTCCACCATGATTGATGAAGATCCTTTTCTTTGTCCCTAAATGATTTCGTAACTGCCTTGAAAAGAGCAACAGTTTGGAAACTTGATGAATGATCCTTAAACTCTGTCACAGTTTATGTTAGGTATAATGTTTTTAAAGAGAATAATGGGTCTAGTTTTGGTGGTCCTGTTCTTTCTCCATAACAAATTCTGTTCATGCCTTTTCCACTAGATTTTCTGTTTTGCAGACAACATCACATACTCATTTCTGTTCATATTAGGAGCCCTCACTGCATTTTCCTTTGGGTAGCAAGTGTTGAAAAGGCTCCCGGGGAAAGTAGTGTCTGTTCCAGCTTTTCTTTCTTCTCTTCATGTTAATGAAACACTTTAAGTATCTAGAAAAAAGATGTCCTCATTTGGTTAGTTTAGGGGTCGTGTTTACCATGACCTCCAGCAGGATGGGGTTCAAGCCCGTTCACTGGGGCCTGCATAGTAAGATTCGGGGAAGATGCCCAGCCGAGATCTTGAATGGGTGCTATATATTTTTTAGCTACTGCAATTCCCATTACCAGATGTGATATTCCAGCAGTGAGTGATTTTTAAAAAGAAAATAATAATAATAATAATAATAATAATTGCTCTTGGTTTAGAAGGGTCCTGTAGGCTGAGCAGCATTTTTCTAATCTCTCAGGCTAGAGACACCTCCCTCCCTTACTTCCTCTCTCTTTCTTGTCTAATACCTCCATTTTCCCCATACTTACTAAGGATTTATTATGTGCAAAGACAAACTTTTGATACACCGAAGAGCATGCTTGATTCTCAAGGAAGTATGGCAAACAAAAGGAGAGAGCCACTGTTTGTTGGAAAGTATATGAAATTTTAAAGGTAAAACTAATCTAGAGTTATAGACTGCAGATCAGTAATTACCTGGGGCCAGAGGTGAGAGAAACTGACTACACGAGAGCATGGGGGAGCTTTTTAGAGTGATAGAAATGCTCTGTATCTTGAGCACAGTGGTGGTTACGCAGGTGTATGTAGTTGTCAAATCTTGCAGAACTGTATACTTAAAGTATGTATGTTATCTGTACATTTTAACTTAATAAATTTTATTAAATAAAACATATTTTTAGCCCTGGCCAGTGTGGGTCAGTGGGTTGGAATGCCATCCAGTACACTGAAAGTTTGAGGGTTCGACTCCCAGTCAGGGCACATATATAGGTTTCAGGTCCAGGCCCCGGTTGGAGTGCATAGGAGAGGAAACCAATCAGTGTTGCTGTCTCACATTGATGTTTCTCTCTCTCCCCTTTCCTCTCTCTAAAATAAAAAATCAATAAGCATATCCTTAGGTGAGGATTAAATTAAACTATATATATATCCCCCCCCTTCCACACACACACATATGAAGACAGGATAGGTAGTCACAGGAGGAAGACAGATGGGCAACCAGGACAGGAGCAAAGCAGAGGTGAGCAGCAAAGGGCCTAGGATGTTACAGATGAAGGCAACAAAGCTAACTTGGGGCCCAAATGGATTCTTGAGAACCCTTCCAGTGAAGTCCCAGTTCTAATCACACCAGCGATCACATTGCCATTATCAGTCCTTGCTAATTCTTCTTCCATGCTGGAAATCAGTCTGTTCCCTATAACCTGAAATGACTTCCTTCTTTCCTCTCCAGTTCCTACACCTAACTCGATTTCTGTTTTTTCTCTTCAGGTTATCCCTTGACCCCTCCTACAGTACCTTCACAATTCTCAAGTGAATTGATACCATGCAATTAAGAACTCGGTTACCCTATAGTTGGGTTGCTTTTACCTACAACTATACTGGAAACTGGTTGAGGGAAGATTTCTAATATTTACATTCCTGTTACCTCCTTTCTCACATTCCACTTAGTGTTTAGGGAAGTGTGTCAAAGTATGTCTTTAATCTCTGCAGAGTGCTTTTCATCTCTTCTCCCACAATCCTAGGTGGTTGTCTCTTGCTTGGGCTATTGCAGTGTTACCTTAATTGGTCTCTCTTTTCTATTCTTGCCCCTCTCTGTTCGCCACACAGCATTCAGAGTGATATATTTTAAAAGGAAATCAGGTTATTTTACTCCATTCCTTACAATGCTTTCATGATTTCCCCCTCCACTTAGAATAAAATATGATCCCTACCTACCTACCTAGATGATATCTTTTTTTTTTTTTTTTGTACAGACAGAGCGGGAGGGAGAGAGAGGAAGGGAGAGAGAGAGAGAAACATCGACGCGAAGGGACACATCAAGTGGCTGCCACCCGCACGACCAACCAGGGCCGGGGACAAACTGCAATCGAGGTACGTGCCCTTAGCGGGAACCGAACCCGGGTCTCTCCGGACCGCAGGCCGACGCTCTAACCGCTGAGCCAAACTGGCCAGGGCTCTTTTTTTTTTTATCCTCACCCGAGGACACTTTTTCATTCTTTGTTCAGATAGAGCAGGAGGGAGAGAGAGAGAGAGAGAGAGAAACATCGATGTGAAAGGGACACATCGAGTGGCTGCCACCCGCACGACCCAACCAGGGCCGGGGACAAACTGCAACCGAGGTACGTGCCCTTAGCGGGAACCGAACCCGGGTCTCTCCGGACCACAGGCCGACGCTCTAACCGCTAAGCCAAACCGGCCAGGGCCCTAGATGATATCTTTACCTTCCACGTTTTCTCCTACTCGCTGGGCTTCGTCAAACTAAGCCCTTTCCTAGCCCAGGTTTTTTTTTGCAATTGCTGTTCTTCTCCTGGAATCCTTTTCTTCCAGCTCCTTCTATGGCTTCTCGTGCTTCAAAGGTCAACTGGAAGGTCATGCCTCTGAGGCCTCTCCAAAGGAATGTCTGCCTCCCCCGCAACACAAGTGTTTTCTATCATATAAACTTGTTTATTTCTTTCCAAGGAGCTTAGCACATATGGAATCTACCTTGACTATGTGTTTGTTTAATGCCTTATTGTCTGTGTCCTCCCATCAGTTAGTAACCACCAGGAGGACAGAGATCTTTTCCATCTTGTTTATCACTATCTCCCCAGCAACTGGCATGGGATTGGCTTTTTGAAGACATTCAATAAGTAATCACTGAATGAATGAACTCATGAAAATGTAGTCAAATAATAAATACCCAGTGTTTACCCTGAAATTTTCTTCTCTAAAAATTCTTTTTTTTCCCTTTTGCCTTACTTTTACAGGTACTTCTATTGTGACTGTAAGAGCTTTTGCTCCCGACTCAATTCAAGATAGCATTAAATATTCCATCTTTAGTGGAAATGAAGATGGAGTTTTTTCCCTGTGCTCCAACACAGGTAAGTCCTCTCTACCCAAGAACAACTTTATTTCCTGCTTCATTTCATGTAATATTTCTCCAAAGGAAACACAATTTGAAAGGTAGGAATTGTTATAGCTAAATAATTTAAAAGGTAAACAAGAAAAAATTTTATGGTGGATGAGAAATTGTGGGAAATCAGGAACTATTGATTTGTTTACATGTTCTTGCTCAGAATTCTATTCTTTCCATTTCCAAATTAGACAGTTCTTATTCTACTCTTTGAATTTTAAGATAAATTGGTTTCTACTTATTTACCCATCTACTTGGGAGAATTGGAGATATAGTAGGGAGATCGTTGATATTGACACTGAGTTGAAAATAAGCACACATGTCTAGCCTTAGGGAATTATCATCAGATTCTTCCGATTCCCACTGAATGTCAACGACACAAGAGAGGACAGCTGGAAAGATTTCTCTGTGGCAGTAAAGAAATTACTTCCAAATACAGCATGTATTAAATTAGCTTTAACAAGACCATTATTGTGTTTTAAATGAATACCAATTGATTATTTAAAACATACTTTTTTGACTAACGACTATGTAGTAGATACATAGCTTCGTTGTCAAGCCTCAAGAAGTATGTTTTTAATAATTTCTGTATTACTATAGAACTGCCTTATTTAATCTGCACTCCATACACATGGGAAGAATTGAGAGGGAGTAATTTCTTAAGTAAATGCCTTCTTGTCCAGGGTAGTGGTATGACTTTTTGATCCACACAGCCTTTGATCAGGAGCTTTCTGAGGTGGTCTGCTAGGAGTCTTAATCTCTTCACCCATCGTTTGGTTAAAGGATGATACAGGAAGCCTGTTGGCAAGAGGGCCATTGCAAACATCCTCAAGCCTTAAGAATCTAGCAGTCCAGGTGCCTGGGGGTTCTGGGAAAAGAGCTAAGACTAGCACCTTTAGGAAAAAGGAGAGCAGACTTTGCATATTTTCCCAGGCTGCCCAAATCTTACCGCCCTCTCACTCCTGACATGGCCCAGGTTTGGCCTTATTTTTTCTAGAGTATTTCATTAAAATGCAGATAAAATATTCCTAGGGTTAGCCCAAAAAAGTCATCCACAGAAAACTTAATTTTCAATTAAGTGGTTATTTATTTATGTTGAAATTTATTTCAAAATTTTATCGTGAAATAGGTACAAGATGATATGTTAAGACATATAAAACTGTGTAATGGACAATAGTAAAATAAAAACCCATGTATTTGGCATCCACCTCCAAAGATGAGGCATTAGTACTAGAACCTCAAAATACACTGTTTTCCTTCCATCTCATGTCTCTCTTCTTTTACCCCAAAGGTAATCAGTAATCTGAAGCTGGTCTTCATAACTGCCTTTTTTACGTTATAATTTTCCCACTGTGCTTGAGTCCCTAAACAATGCTATTTATTTTTACCTTCATTTAAACAACATAACAGAATCATGCTGAATGTACTCTTCCATGACTCGATTCTTTTGCTCAACATTTGTACTATGCTTTGTAGTGCATAAACCCTGTTGTGCACATTGAAGAGAAGCAGCAGAGAATGACACGTACCTGCTGCCAAGGTTATAAACTAGAACGTGACCATTGTCACCAATACTCCCTTTGTGCCCTTCTCTAATCACATCCTTTCTCTCCACTGCTCCAGGCTGACTGATGTCCTGGCTTCAGGAATAATCATTCCCTTATGACTTAAAGTAAATGCATTCCTACACATAAAACTTTAATTTTGTTTATTTTTAAATTTTCTATAAATGGATTCACACTCCATGTATTCTACGGGATTCGAATTTTTAATTCAAAGTCAGAATCATTCATGTCAATGTGTATAGTTGGGGTGTTTTCATTTTCATTTCTTTATGGTGTTTTGCTTAAGCCTGTATGGTGACTCATACATCCATTCTGCTGTTGATGGACAGTGAGGTTTTCCTGTCTGGGGATGTAATGACTAGTGCTGTTAGGAACAATCTCATGCACACCTTCTGGTGTACAAGTAGGGAGTTCCTATGCCTTGGAGGAGGAAGGTGCATTCTTCAACTTTATAAATAGTGCAAGATTGTTTTATGAAGTGGTTTGTCCCACTAAACATCCCACCAGCAATGAGTGACAGCTGTCATGGTTGTTCACGCCCTTCTTTCTACTGCCAATCTGGTGGGTGGGAAGTGATATCTCACTTGGTTTTAATTTGCATTTCCCTTATTACTAATGAACTGGAGCATTTTTTTAAAAATATAGTTTATTGAACATTCCTGTTTTCTCCTTTGTGAAATTCCTACTGATATCTTTTGCCTAATTTTCTGCTGAGTTGTTCATGTTCTCTTTCTGAAGTCTAAGGATTTTTAATATTTTTAAATTATTTATCCCTGTTTTTTGATGTGAACATTTTTTTACTGTTTGTGACTTGTCTTTCACTCTCTTCGTGGCATGTTTTGACTTTAATGAGTTAGAATTAATCAGTCTTTTAATTTACGATTTGCCCTTTTTGTCAGTTCTTTAAGAAATTCTTCCCTACCCTGACGTCAGGAAGATAGTCTTACATTGTCTTCTTGAATTTTGTAGCTTTCCTGTGTTGCACAGTTACATCTTTAGGGTATCGAGAACTGATTTTTGTGCCTTATGTGAGTTAGTGATAACTTCCTTTCCATTATTCTAGATGGCAATAAGCTCCTCCTGTGGTCTGCAGTTCCACCATCGCCATGTATCTTGTTTCCATGACTCTTTACTGGACTGTCACTCTTTTCCATTCATTTCTTGTGTATCTACACACTGACAACACACTCAATCACATTAGCTGTATACTAAGTCTTCATCCAGGGAGGCTGCCACCACCCCTCCCCCCAGTATGTACCCCATCTTAATATTCTTCTTCATGAGTATCTTAGCTGTTCTTGGCTCTTTGCTCTAACATAAAGTATTGATTCACTTGTGAAATTTCACACACATACCTATTAAGCATTTTTTCCAAGGAAAGGAGATTTTATTTATAAATTCTGGGGTGATGTACAGCTATCTACATCTTCATGTATATAACCCACATTGCCATGGCATGCACGTTTGATTTCAGGGGAAACCTCCCCGACTAACAAAGAAAATACCAAAAACTGTATATAACTCCAATCTAGAATTGAAGTAACTTCATCACAGGCCACAGTGCCCTCCTTTCAAAGCCCACGAAGCCTTGTATTGCTGTGTATGGTAGACAGCAATCATCTACTAAAAGTTTTCTTCTTTAAATTTACTTTTCTTCTTTTTAATTGTGGTAAGAATATTGAACATGAGATCCACCCACTTAAATGTTTAAGTGTAGAATACAGTCTTGGTAACAACAGGCCCAGCGTCATACAGTAGACCTCTAGAACCTGGTCATCTTGTATAGCTGAAATGCCATGCTCATGGGACAGCAGCGCCCCATTTCATCCACCCTCAGCCCCTGGCAACCACCTTGCTACTCCCTGCTTCTGTGATATTGACTATTTTAGATACCACATAGAAGTGGAATCCTACTATACTTACCTATGTGTGACTGGCTTATTTCACTTAACATAATGTCCTCAAGGTCCATTCATGTGGTCACATCTGGCAGGATTTCCTTCTTTGCTAACATCGAATAATATGCTGTTGCATGTGTACACCATGTTTTGTTTATCCACTCACCCATCAGTGGGTATTTAGGTTGTTAGAATTTTTATTTGAATTGTATTAATCTAAATATTAGTTTGGGGGAATTCTATGTCTTTATAGTATTATCTTCTAAACCAGGGATTATATAGAAAATTACACCAATATTTTTCTTTAATATATTTTAATAAAGTTTTCACCTTTTTCTGTAACAAACTTGCATACTTTTCATTAGATTTAACCTAAATATTTTATACTTCTTTTTGCTAAAGTAAATGGAAAAAATGCTTTCTCTGACAGTACTGGTGTGCATACTTGAAATTGGCTTTTATATTTTAATTTTGTATCTAGCAAACTTGTAATCTTATTAATTTAGATATTTTTCTGTATGTTCAATATATACAATCATTATCTGAAAATGACTATTTCGCCTGTGTTGCTTGGAAGTTACATAGCTATTTCTTTTCTTTTAATGACTAGCCTATCTATTTTAACATAAATAACTGAAGTCTAACATTAATCAATATCTTGCACCTGAATGATAGAAAAGGCTTAGAATTCTTTATCTCCAAATATCTCTTTTTCAATTTATAGGCTTTTGTTGACCATATTTTAGTTCTTTCAAATTAGGCATTGTTAATATTTTAAATAGATTCATCTGCTTCTTTGTTATTCTCTTGCTAACTGTTCTTATGTCTCAGACTTTTCTCTAGTATCATTTTCTTTCTGCCTGAAATACACCCTTTAGTGAGGGTCCATACTAGTAAACTTTCTCAGATTTTGGTTGTCTAAAAGTGACTTTATATAATCCTTGTTTTTTATCCTGGGCTTAGACTTGTAGGTTCACAGTTACTTTCTGTCATCATTTTAAAGATATTATCCTAGGGTCTTCTGGTTTCTAGCTGTTGTATTAACAAGTAAGCTTTTGATTGAAATAACTACAGTTAGACAAATATTAGGCAGTATCACCCTCTTCTACATCTCTTTTTCATATTTTTTACTTCTTTGTTCTTTTTTAGTTTAGGGAACTACTATATTTTTCATTTCCAGAAGTTCTCTTGGGTTCTTTTCAACTCTTCTTGGTCTTTTAGAAACATAGTCTCTAGTTTCTTGCTCATGTTTCCAAGCTTCTTTTTTATATATATAAACGTATAAAATAACTACATATTTTGTGGCCAACAATTCCAGAATCTTAAGTGTCTGAAGATTTATTTCGCTATCTGTGGATCCGATAGCTTTCAGTCATGATGCCTTGTTCCTCAGTGGTTTAGTGCTTAACAATGAACCGCTCATTATCCTTGAAATGTTTGTGTTGTTTTGTTTTGTTTGTGATGCTCTCTAAAGTCTGGGTTGAATTTCTTCCCTTTAGAGAGGATTTGCTTTGCCTTCTGCAAATCACCTGGACACATCATCAAGCAAAGCTTAGCTTAAATCGAATTACTGAGAGTTTTAAAAAATGTACTGCTAGGACAGATTGGTTACCATAAATTCAGGCGTAAGCTAATGAACCATTGGCAGACACGTTTTCTTTTCTCCTCCAGTCAACCCCAAGGTCAAGGAAAGCAGGTTTCTGTGTATCCATTTTTAATCTGTTTCTGTTTTGTTTTGTTCTGTTTTTTTAATATTGATCACTCTGTTGGAGCATTTGGGCCTTTTGGGTTTATAGCTTTATTCTGATTTTCCTATTAGACCCTTCACTTTTTTGTGGGTTCAGGCTTCTTCCCCTGTTTCAGCTATCAGAGATGAATCTCAAAGAAGGAAGTTGTGTTAGAAATCCTTTTAACAAAAATCGGATTTTAGTGTTTGCTTACTTCCTGGATTACTGGGGAATTTATTTATTTATTTATTTATTTATTTTTGGTTTCTATCTTATTTATTAATTTTTTATTGAATTTATTGGATGGGGTGACTTTGGCTAACAAAATTATATAGGTTTCAGGTGTACAATTCTATAATACATCATCTGTGTATTGTATGTTGTATTCACACCCCAAGTCAAGTCTCCGTCACCATCTATTCCCCCTTTACCCTCTTCCATCTCTCCCCTCGCCCTCTCCCCTCTGCCGGTCACCATGCTGTTGTCTGCGTCTATGAGTGTTTTTTGTTTTGGCCTCTGAGGGTTCCCTACCACTGTACCAACTCAGTCATGCATTTCAATACACACAGACACACAATTTATCAAGCATTTTAGTTGTTTTTATCATGAAGAGCATTTTAATGTATACTTTACCATATTGCTGTCAAGAAGCATTTTTAAAAATCGTGAAGTATGATATTAAATTTATCTTTCATGCCACTCTTGTCACAAAATTATTAAACGTATGTCTAAATATTCTGTGAATGTATGCACTTTAAACTGTACACCAGTTAAAAGAGAAAACTGATATGTATGATAAATCAATGTAGTTTAAGTTGTGGTCACTTTTCTTAATGGTAAAAATGGAAGAAAACCATTTTATTAGTTATTGGTTAAATACGTAGGGAGTAGATGGATCTCGATGGGCACTGTATTTTCTGTCGATCTGTGCCAGAATTTTCCTGGGTTCCACATTCACAAACCAAAGGTTTATTTTTGTATCCAAACTTCTTGTCACTTTAACTTAAAAACATCTACTACACACTATCAAAACCAGCAGGAATTTGGGAGTTTGACTAACGTTGTGTATGTCAATAACAGATGGCAGTATCCATTTCATTATTTGGTAGATTGACATAAAACAATTATGACCCAATTTTCAATGTTTCAAGGATATAACTTTAACAGGAGAGCATTTAAAAGCTTGGGGATAACATAAATGTTTATCACATTCTGCTTTGGTCGTATATACGATATGTGCACCTTTTGGAATTGACCGAAGTAACCTGATCATGCTGTCAAACACTTAGCATTTGAAGACTCATAATCTCATTTTGATGTGTATTTTATAACTTGGACAAAAGCTTTACATGTACATATATGAGAAGGAAAATATTACTACAGTTTCATTCTCAAGTTATTGTGTAACTGGCACTCTAACATATGAGAATGAACATGAAGTTGGTGCTGCGAGGCTTACTCTAAGAAAAACATGGACTTCTGCCCATACCATGAGACAGAGCCCAGGAGTACTTTCATCTCACCGGTGACAGTAAATCCTTGCTGTCTCTGAGAAAAATATGCGTAGATCATCCAAGGCAAAATGTGGATCTGGTAGGTGCGCCAGCCGTGAATTATCTCACAGACTGGTTATTGTCTTTTCCACTTGCATAACTTTCACAGCATATGCCAATTATTATGCCAAAAATAAAAACCAAGCAAGGAAAGCATTAGGGCTGCAGATCCATTCCAAGTTCAAAATTCCAATTATCAAAGCCTAAACACAAGCCTTTTATTAAAATCCCAACTTTGATCTGCACTATAATTGGCACACTTTCTGCTCAGTGACACTGGCAATTTAGTGTTGCATTTCCATTGGATTTCTCCTTTCCTGGTAGTAACAGCACATGACAGCAAGCTGAGTGCCCTGCTTGGTGGAGACAGAGCTCCAGATGAGACCTTTGGACCCACCTCAGACTGGGGCTCCTCAGCCAGTTGGGAGCCTGGGCTCCTCCCTGGTTTCATGGAGGTTTCTAAAAACCAGCTTCCTTCATTACCTGCTCATCAAAATGCACCTTAATGATTCTCCAGCTTCCAATCGTTAGAGCTATTCTAAATTCTGTCAGGGGTGTTGGTAACATCAGACTGTGGTTTGTAAAAGTAATTTGGTTTTAGTTCTGAATTGGTAACTAAATCTGATGAAAGTGATTTCATGAAATTTTAAATTTGGTAATATAGACAGTTCTTCATATAGAATATAAATATTTAATTTCTCTTCATAACAGAATAGAAGCCATAAATCCCCCCGAAATAGTCAACACCAAAGTTAGCGTATTTCTCGGGCTAGGTTGGTTCCCGAGGAAACCGGTGCGGATAGCGCTCCAGGAACTGTGGGTTCCAGGCCAGAGATCCAGAAGCAGGTTCTTTCGCCAGAAGATACAATTTCTCTAACAGTCTGTGGCTGTCAAACTTCCTCTTTCTAAATTCAGACCCTAGGAAGATATTAAATCTGTATCTAGTGATGGAGGGGGAGAGGGATGTGGGTACAACACTGGACAGCATCCATTGTCTGTGTGCACTGTTACCTGTCTCAGCAGCCCTAGGAAGTCATTATCCACGCCCCCACCTCACAGGAGAGGAACCGGTAGAACCCGCGTATCTGACTGCAGGCCACAGAGCTCGTGGTGGTGGAGCCAAGTAATTTACCTAAATTAAGGAGCCAGATCTGAGATCTGTGCTTGGTTTTGGGGTTCTTGACCTCCAAATCAATGCTTATTCAGCAAATCATTATTCAGTGGCATCTCTGACAGTGAGAACCAAGTAAACTATAATAATAAAAATAATAACATTAAGTTCAGTAAGAAATTTCATTGAAAGGGGGAGGAACAGGCAGAGTAGAAATCAAAGGAGGAAATTATGTTGGGGAGAAATTTCCTTAATTTGAGGGAGAATCTTAAAGATGGCACAACCCCCAAGGGTCACTTTGCCTAGCCTGGTTATGCTTTTTATATAACGGTGCAACAAATGTCAGTGGGTGCCTTCTGCAGGCCAGGCCTCGAGCTAGGTCCTGGGGACACGATGGTGTAAGAGGCGGGTAAGCATCCTCACCTTGCAGTAGGGCTGAAGCAGGTGAGCAGAGTACAGCCGGTGTTTGTGAGAGTCTGTTGGGGGCTGACAGTGATGGTCAGGTGGTCTGGAAAGATCCCCGAGGAGGCACAGGAGTGGGGACTGTTCCAGGCCGATGGAAAAGCATACATGGCAAGTCTGCAATGAGCCTTTGAGGACAGAACATTGATGAGTGTCATGACCAGAGCAGAGAGACCAAGGTGGAGAAGGACATGATGAGACTTCTCAGGTAGGAGAGGTCCTTGGGAGGTTAAAAATGCTGAAATTGGTCATGATTACTGTAGAAAGACATCGAAGGGTTTTACACAGGACAATGCCAATGCCGTTTTTATTATTTAGTTCAGAATGGGAACTGTGTTGGCGGGGAGACCCCTAAGTGGCTAAGGGGACAGGATGGGAAATGCCAGTGGCCGGAGGAGAGCAGAAGCAGGGACTGTGGAGAGAGGTAGATTCCAGGGATGTTTGAAAGGTAGATTTCTCAGATGTGGTGATGGACCGAAGATGGAGAGAGAATTTAAGAGAGATTTAAGACATCGTTCCCAAATTTAAGAGCTAGCTACCAGGTTTCAGATATTTTATCGTTTCTTTCCCTCCTACATGTCTGAACTTTGCACACATCTGTACACTCTCCACTTTTTCCTTAATGACCCCAGTCAACAGAGGAGGGAGGCCAGCCAACAGGGGGCTTTGAGGGACAGGTGAGCACTTGAGCACGGGTCAACGGTGATTGGGATTTTCTAAGTAATAACTGCAGCATCAACTTATTTTATATTTTTTTTCTCCCTGGGAATAAAAATAGGAGAAATCACTGTGAACGAACCCAAGTTTCTTGATTTTGAAGTCCGAAATGAAGTACAGCTCATTGTTTTAGCTGAAAGCAGTGGGCATAGAGCCTACAGCAAAGTAGCTGTCTTGATACAAGATGTGAACGATAATTCACCGCACTTTGGGCAAAGCGTTTACCGAGCATCAGTGTCCGAAGGCCAGTTCGACGACGCTCGTATCATACAGGTAACAGAAGTGTGTGTGTGTGTGTGTGTGTGTGTGTGTGTGTGTTTAAATTATCATGTATCAATGCACATCAAAATATTCCAGGCCTTTTTTCCAGCATAAATTAAAATTTAAATGTTTTCAAGGCATGAAAGTTTGAAGTTTGGAGTTTCTGAGTTTACTCTTCTTCCTCTATTGATTTAGTGTTCAATTTGTGCCCGCCTGCTTACTCTGGGGACTCGGTTGAACCCTAGCAGGACATCTATAGGGACACAAATATCGACTCATCCTATAAATGCATACGATTTAGTGGGGAAATCAAAACTTAAGTATATGATTGAAATGCATATAATTAAGGTCATAGTAGAAGTGGCATTTAATGCCATGAGAGAAAGGAGGAGACAAACTTCCTGGTGAAAAGCACAGGGCCGGTATCACATGACCTCACTTATCTGTGGACTATAGTGAACACAATAAGCTGTTCAACAAAGTAGATCCAGACACCTAGAAGCAGGGAACAGACTGGCTAACCTCAGAAGGAAGGGAGGGTGAGGGGGTGGGAAGAGAAAAACCGAAGAACTGATGTGCATACAGGCATAACCAATGGGCGCAGACAACGGGGGGCAGGAGAGGGGAGGGGGTCAATGGAAAGAAAATCACAGGGCTTCGCAGAAGAATGGCATTTGTATTAGGTCAAAGGAGGAGCCGCAGCCAGAGGAGCAGGAGCTGCAGCCCAGACACGTGGACAAGCTGCCCAGGACAGATTTGCAGACGATTTTGTGCGTGAAAGGAACAGGTGCACCGTTCTCAGGCCCCGCCTCAGGAAAACGCTCCCGACCCTGAGGGAGAAGCTGCCCAGCAGGCAGTGTGGTCCAGGCTCTAAATCCACTCTCCTCCTGCTACCCGTTCAGGAGTAGGATCCAGTTTGACCTTTCCCCTCACCGTTGAGTCGATGCTTTGTATGCAAGAACCTGGACGTTAAGAAACGTACCATCGCTTGGGAATCTGCAGAGGAAATCAGAATAAAGCACCTTGCTGACAGAGTTAGCCCCCCGCAGCCCAGGTGCGCAGGATTTCCCACCCTGCTCTGCAGGCCTGTTCTGGGAGTCTGTGACTGTGGGCGTCCATCGTGACTGGGATGTTTAACAAGAAGGTGAGGGCATTCGTTTTTCCAATCTTTTTTAAAAAACACACAGACCTTTTTTTATTGATTTTCAGAGAGAGGAAGGGAGAGGGAGAGAGAGAGAAACATCAACGTGAATGTGAAACATCGATCGGCTACCCTGCCCTGGAATGGAACCGGCAACCTTTCGGTGCACAGATGACGCCCAGCCTGCTGAGCCTCACTGGCCAGGGCAGCTTTTCCTAGTGTCCTCAGCCGGCCCAGTGAGCCTGTATGGTGGAGACGACAGGAGCCTCCAGTGCCACTGTGGGGCGCCACTGCATTGTACTGCTTTGTCACGCACGCTCCCCTGGAGAGAGCTACACTGCTCAGGGTAGAACACCTGAAGGTGGAGACACCTCTAAAGCCCAGGCACCGCAAACAGGGCAGCCCAGCCCACCAATGCTTCAGGTTATGTTGGACTTCCAGAGGACAGAATCAGGGACAGATTCAGTGAACTTTGTTCCTGATGTTTCTAGGTCATTTGTTTCCAGGAAGCGAGAGCTGCCGTTCTCCTATGTCCTGCTGAGATCAACAGAAATGTCAGAGTCTCTGGTGTTCACACCACTCGTGGGAGTTGCCTCTTGATTTTCACCACCACCCTGCCCACGGACCCTCCTTTTGGTTACAAGCCCGCAGACTTCCTTTAGGAACTGACCCTGCTCTGTGGGATGCAGTCTAAGGGGGACTGTCAATCAAGGTAGTGATGTGCCCCCTGCCCCACCTCGCCTCAGTCTTAGAGAGACTTTCTCTCCCGGGAAATGGAATCTGAGTGGTGGAACACCAGCACAGAGATAAGTTAGAGCTGATTTATCTCGACAGTAACAGCTCAAAGAAGCCACACCCTAGAGTTGTCCAGGTTCTTACACTTCACCTGGGCTCTATCTTTCGGATGCATTTCTTTCCTGGTGAAGTTAGCCGTGGGGAGGATGTGTTGCTGGCATCCTGCAACCTTGCAGAGGTACCTGGGAGGCCTACTCTGGAACTTTTAAGTATGTGGTCACAGGGCAGGCCTTCTTCTGCCCAAGTTCAGATGAGTTTTTCTTCCTGGTGATTCCAAGGGGAACTATGTATTGCTGCCCTTCTGATGATGTCCTGGGAACCCCACTGGGCCACTTAGGGTCCCCTGAGAACTCCGACAGCAGTGTGTGAAGGACAGGTTGAGAGGGTTGAGAAGCAGAAGCAAACCCCACTGGGACATCGGCGCAATCACCTGAGAGCAAAATGACAGGGACGTGAGCTCAGGCCAAGGCCGATGGGCATGGAGCATAAAAATAAGCTTAAAAAATTTAAATTCATCTGTCAACTTGTTCATAAACAAAATCTTTTTTTTTTTTTTTTATCCTCACCCGAGGATATTTTTCCATTTTTTGTACAGATAGAGTGGGAGGGAGAGAGGAAGGGAGAGAGAGAGAGAAACATTGATGTGAAGGGACACATCGAGTAGCTGCCACTCACACAACCAACCAGGGCCGGGGACAAACTGCAACCGAAGTACGTGCCCTTAGCGGGAACCGAACCCGGGTCTCTCTGGACCGCAGGCCAACGCTCTAACCGCTGAGCCAAACTGGCCAGGGCCATAAACAAAATCTTGAATTCACTAATGGTTATGTGGTCAAAATGTAATACAGACTAAATAATATATCTCCATGGAGACCGATGCAAAACTTTTGTTTTGTCCTCAGCACTACTTTGATAACTCATCACATAAATGATCAGGGATAAATTTATTAGCATATTTAAAGATCCTTTTTTAAAAAATTTTTATCCTCACCTGAGGACATTTTTTGTTCAGATCGAGTGGGAGGGGAAGAGAGGAAGAGAGAGAGAGAAACATTGATGTAAAAGGGACACATCAAGTGGTTGCCTCATGCACAACCAACCAGGGCTGGGGACAAACCACAACCGAGGTACATGCCCTTAGCGGGAACTGAACCCAGGTCTCTCTGGACCACAGGCCGACGCTCTAACCGCTGAGCCAAACCGTCCAGAGCAGCATACTTAAAGATCCTTTTAAAAAGAGACTCGCAATATATTTTAAAAAATCCACATATGGCTTCCTTTATAGGAAATACTTTGAGCAAGAAATACAAATGCAAATGACAGATTACCATTCACTACGTGGAGGTTTCCTCTACCATTTCTCTCCTCCTCGGGGGCTAGCCTGAATCCACATATAGCACTGGACACTCTCTATTGAAGCAGATTAGATTTTTTTCAACTATGTTTTCCTCTTGCCTAAAATTGTAGCTCTAAACGCGTGCAACTCCCACTGAAAGTTACTTTGAAATCCTTTGAATGAGAACACAGACTCGTTCCCTTCCCTGTTATCCACTCCACTGGGAAGTGAAATGTAAGCAGTTTGTCGATGTTGCTCTGATCGTCATTTTTTAAATGTATTTGACAATCTGTGATCTTTCATCATGCACTTCTTTGAAAAACAAAATTAACCCATGTTGCAGATTAAATCAAGAGTTGCTTCCTCACAGGTTGTTGCTACTGACCTGGACAGCGGGCTGAGTGGCCTCATTGGGTACTCCATTCTCGCTGGCAACCAAGGACAGGTGTTCCAGATTGATGCACTGAGTGGCGTGATCACAGCAAAGGGGATGCTGGATTATGAGGTCACCAACTCCTACAGGTTTGTCCCAGATTCCGATCTGTTTGCTCAGCCATCTGCTTTGTTTCTGACAACACTGTTGTTGTTTTGAGCTCAACTTCCTATTATATGATCTTACTTGTAAAACGTGTGTTCCCTTTGATCCAACGTATGAGCACCCTTTTGATATACTGGAAGTCTTAGAAAGTATTTGCAGTTTTGGAAAGGTGATTAGAACTTTAAGGTTCCCTCTGGTTCTAAGATTTCATGAATTCGTGATACTATTAAGTACTAAATGAGTGACTTTTAAAAAAATCAGTATTTGTAACATGTCTACTGAACCACTGAGCACTCTGAAAATGTTTGTTCTTATTGTTCTTAAAACAGTGAAGACTGAATGACGTTGTTCTTTGTAATTCTTTATTCTCTTTTTGTGCGCAAAATTATGATTCTGTCATCAGGACCCTTGCACTGTGTTCTGATAGAAATGATCTTATTGAAAGCACCCATTGCAACATTAAATATTTTTTGCCTAGAGTCCAAGATATGCCAGCCTCATACAGAATTCAATAAAAGAGAGAATAATAGTGGTACAAGGCCCCTGGGTATTTAAAATGTCAATGCTACCAAAGTCTAGCCATACATACAAGGATATTTATGGCACCTCAGTGTGAAAAAAAGACTAGGGAACCTAAAACGGCTGTGAAGGGGGACTGCTTTAAGAATGATGGCCAAGTCTTCCGTGGAATACAACCTAACTGATTTTAAAAGAGAAAGAAGTAGCCCTGGCTGCTGGTGTGGCTCCGTTTGTTGAGCATCATCCTGTGCACGAGAGGATGCTGATTTGATTCCAGGTCAGGGCACAGGCCCAGGCTGCAGGCTTGATCACCAGTAGGGGGCGTGCAGGAGGCAGCTGATTGCTGTTACTCTCTCACATGGATGTTTCTCTCTCTCTAAAAATCAAAAAGCTATTCTTTAAAAATAGAGAGACTATGCATTTTATTTTTTAATTTATCTTTATTATTGAAAGTATTACAGATGTCCCCTCTTTTTTCCCCCATTGACCCCCCTCTTCCCCATTCCCATCCCCTCCCCCTTGCTCCACCACGCTATTGTCTGTGTTCATTGGTTATGCATATAAGTTCTTTGGTTTATCTCTTCCCACCCCCCACCCCCCGCCATTTCCCCTTCCCTCCGAGGTTCCTTAGTCTGTTCCCTGCTTCTGCATCTCTGGATCTATTTTGTTCATCAGTTTATTTTGTTCATTAGTTTCCACATATAAGTGAGATCATGTGATACTTGTCTTTCTCTGACTGGCTTATTTGAAAGTCAAAAAGATGCTTGATTTTCTTATTACTTACTTCAATATGCTTCTATTTTTGTCATATTTCCTGTATGTTCTTCCAAAAGGCCTTGCACACATAGTGTTTCCTTTAACCCTCCAATCACTTCCCGGGAGGTTAAGTTGGGCATTTTCTTATTCACTGAAAGGACAACAGACGTACAGTGGATTGCTCAGGGTCACAGAACCATTTCATGTTCAGACATGGACTTGCAGCAGGGATTCTGGTTCTGAGTCACACTCTTTCCTCTGTACAAGCTACAGAGCTGCCCTCTGTTTAGGGGGGAAACACGTAAACAAAAGACTAAATGCCAATATTCTCCAAAGCTCAGCTACATTCATTATATATATATATTTTATTTTTTATTTTTCTATTTATCATCAGATAGAGTGGAAGGGGGGGGAGGGAGGGAGAGGGAGAAACATCATTATGAGAGAGACACAACAACTGGTTGCCTCCTGCACAACCCGACCAGGGCCGGGACGAACTGCAACCGAGGTACATGCCCATGACTGGAATCAAACCTGCAACTCATCGATCCGCAGGCCGACACTCTAACTGCTGAGCCAAACCAGCCAGGGCATACATCCATGTTTTATAAGGAGAGTGCAGGATATTTCTGTGGTTGAGCAATGAGAGCTGATTAATGAGATCTGTTACTGGGAGGACTCGGTTCATTAACCTCTGCAAAACTTCCCAGCTCTAAAAGTTTAAATGTTTAGTTCTTTCTGTTTCATATGTTTCAAAATATTACTTCAAAAGTATTTTAAATGTTTGAAACCTTAGTTACCATCTATTAACTAGTAGGATTTTTGGGTAATATCTTATTGCCATCAATTGTTATGATACTTACTGAATAAAAATATTAAAATTGATTGTATAACTATGTTAAAACCCTACCCCTGCCTCATTGTTTCTTTAGTACTTTTAAGCATTAAGCCTTTTTTCTCTCTCCATGGATGACTGCAGGTGAACCTCAGCCTAGTTGCCACCTGAGTGATTACAAATTCAGAGGTTATGGAAGGTCAGCTGTGTGCCAGGAACTAAGCATTTCCTGACTGCAGACTTTCTGTTACAGTGTTCCTCCTACTCAGTGGAGCCTAATTAGCCACTAAACCCAGCTCCTTCCAGTTTTTCCTACGTGCGTCATAGTTTCAATGTTCCCAACATTAAAATTGGTCCCAATATTTAAAAGTGTCCCTCCCCAATTCTCCATAAAGAATTTAACTCAAGTCTGGAAGAACCGAGAGACATTGAACTCTACATGCAGACACACACACACACACACACACACAGTCTCCAGTATCACCAAAGCAAGCAAACACAGGGCGTCCAAAAAAGTGTGTTTGCAGAATCTATTACATTTTGAAAACGAAATGTATTTTAATAAACGCTAGCTTTGTAATTACACTTTTTTTGTGTATACATTTTTTGGGGACACCCTATATTTTAAGCCCCCTGCCTCTGTAGTTCAGGGCTTCCTTCTCTCATGCAGCTTCTCTTCCTCCTTCGTGCTTCTGCGACTACAGACAGCGGGAAATAAAGGCCGATTGCCCCTAGCCTGCCATACGTCCAGCCAATGCCTTGGGAAAGGCGTCATTTAGCTTTTAACTTTTCTTTACTTTTGAAATATTGTTATTTTGTCTGATTGAGGAAGACCTTCTCAATTGTAGTTCTCTGTTGTACAATATAAAACAATAATATCATATGAAATCATATTGTCAGTTATGATTCTATTCAATGTAAATACACTAAATAAAAATTAATGTTTCGCCCTCATGTTAAGCCACATATCAGATAACTCAGTAGAAAAATGATGACAAATTATGAAACAGACCTTAAGCTCTGTCGGACTGATATTTATGAATTTTAAAAACTGTTTACTGAGCTCGCGCTATAAAGAGGTATGAAACAGTCCTTGTTCTCCGGGAGCTGAGAAGCTGAGGGTCCCTGTCATCCATGGCAGGAAGCAGTAACCGCAGTCCTTTATGGAGTTCCACCACATGTTGAATTCTCAGCACAGACGCAAGATTTAGAGTAAGTAACCGAAGTTCAGAGAGGAAGGTTTGCCAGGATCATGCAGCTAGTCAGTGGTAAAACTGAGACTTGTCTGTGCCCGTGGTCATAGCAGGGCTTCCTACTGCGTCTTGTAAATGAATCTTAAAAGCACACACCTGTCGCCCTGGCCCATTTGGCTCGGTGGTCAGAGCGTCGGCCCATGGACCAGTGAGTCATGGGTTCAATTCTGGTCAACAGCATGTACCTAGGTTGTGGTTCGTCCCCGGCCCTGTTTGGGGTTGTGCAGGAGGCAACCAGTCAATGTGTCCCTCTCACATCAATGTTCCTCTCTCTCTCTCTCTCTCTCTCTCTCTCTTTCTCTCTCTCTCTCTCTCTGTCTCTCTGTCTCTCTCTGTCTGTCTCTCTGTCTCTCTCTGTCTCTCCTTCCCACTCTATCTGAACAAAAAAATAGAAAAAATCCTCAGGTGAGGATTTTTAAAAAATCACACACTTGTCTATTTACAAAACACATAACAGAAAAAGATACTTTGGAAATTGAAAATAACAGCATAAGTTCCAGCTTGCAGTTGTGAACTAACACATGTCTATGTGAACATGGAATCTGAATCATTTGAAAGCATTCCCACTGCTCGACAGGAGAGACTTATCCCTGTTTGAGTTGATAATTGGATACTCCTGGGAGACTTGTAACACACTTCAGGGCCAGGATTTTTATTGTTATGAGAGTAGCACACTTGTCCAAGACCAAACAGTGTCACAGACCAAGATGAAAGTCAGCCACCATTGCTTCCCTCGTCCCAGCACCACGCCCTTTAGGCTGACATTCCTAACCAGTTTTCTCCGTTATTATAAACACCAATACATCTTAATTTATCATTTTAAACATTAGCTCTGAACTTCCTGTTTTAATAGGTGTGCATTTAATATTTTTACTTTCTCTTGTCCAATTCTCTCTATACATTCCTTGGCTGGTTTTCACTGAATAAGCAACCAGTGTTTATATTATATGATTCTATAAACGTTCACTTCGGAGCCATGTCATAGTCATGTTTCCTTTCTTACCCTCCCCCTGCTCCAAGGTTAATGATTATCTTTCTTTTTTGCTCACCTCATTGGCTACACCCATGTATTTAATTCCTTGTCAATTGTCCAGTAGCTGTCCAGTCTACCCATCTTTTACCCCTCAAATTCAAGTCCTCCTTGTTCCTTCAAATCCTGTTCCTGCTGCTTCTGCCCCCCTGGCGCCGCGGTAGTGATCTGTAGTAGGTCTGCAAACCTTCTGCAAAGCTGCTTAATTCATGACTTTGCTTCGTTGCTCTCCTAAGCTGAGCCCATGTTACAGATCTCATGTCTTTCTCTTTCTTCGTTTTCTCTTCCAGTAGCTTTGGCCAGGGAAGTAAACTCTCTGAGTTCTTGAAGATCTAACATGTCTTTCTTCCACTTTTATGTGGGATTTATACAATGGATAGTAAGAAGAGTTGAATTTTTTTTTTAGAATTTTGAAGATATTCTATCTTTTCTTTTCATTTATTTTAGAGAGAAAGGGAGAAGGAAAGAGAGATAGAAACATCGATGACAAGGAATATCAATTGGCCCCTCCTGCATGCCCCACACTAGGGATTGGACCCAAAACCTGGACATGTTCCCTGATCAAGACTCGAACTGGTGACCTCTTGGTGC